AAACTTTATTAACGATTTTTGTTACTTCGGCTTGTGGAAATCGGCAGATTATATTTTTCCCGTTATCCTTGAATTATTTCCTTCAAAATAAAAAAAAAATCGACCGCGCTTGAGAATGTCGTGGTGACGTTTTTTTTACAACTTTGTGACCTTCTGACTGCCTTACGTCACGCTCAAATCATCAGATTATTGAAATGCACACTTTTCAGCATGTAACTAACCCATCATATCTTAATCTGACGCGCTCGAGTATTTCCAATTATCGATTTTTTTTTACTATTCTGATTGGCTGCCCTACAAGCGCGGCCTTATACAGGTTAGGAAAGTACCGATGGTCCATCTGCCGTTACGTGAGAGCGATAAAGTAAGACATAGAAATCCATGCGATAGAGAAGGATGGCTATAATGAAGGCGTCTAATAGTCACCGCCCGTTTCGCCCTTCCACAAATAAGATCCACTTCTTATTTGGGACACCCTGTATCTCTTTAACTATCAACTTTTGGACTAAGGTAAGTTCGGCTAAATCACAATATTTACTTGGGGAATCTACCCATGAATTTTGGCAAATTACCTCGGGACCACTCTGTATTGACTAAAGCTAGGTTTCCACGTTTGAACGATTTTTGTTGATCAAAAAATATCGCAAGAGATTTGCGTTCACGCACGATCGAAACCATAATCGGACCGAATGGCGCCAAGTAAATTAGTGCAAATTTGTGTACGAGAAATTAAAAGTATTTTCATAGACTTCAAAACTAAATTGAGTTCCGTTTTGAATATAGTTCGTATAGTTTTTATTTTGTTTTTTATATTGTCAATACTCAGTCCTTCGCATTCTATGTCGACAATTATTGCTTGAATCGCAGTTTCTCCGGCATTTTTGTTCTTGTAAATATCAAGAGTCTGATTCCGCAGGCACTCATGCTGCTGATAAATATCTAGAAACTTGAAGGTTAAAGCATCACTCCATTAAAAACCCCTATTAGACGAAGTTATTTTGCTCATGCACTAGGTATCACAAACAAAAATAATTCCAACGAAGATTAATCGCTTTCGACTCGACCTGTGCTGTTCTCATATTCAACAAGATTCAACTCGCTCGATGACGTCATAAAATTGCGCCGACTTGAAAGCAAAAGTTGTCAGCTACACAACTTTTTGTCATTCAACAAAAGTTGATCAAACTTCTATTGAAAGAGTGTTCTCATGAAACGATTGTTATTCAATTTGGAAGCGATTTTTAGTTGATCGCCTCGTGAGAACCTGATTTAATAGATGAAGACGCGCTGTATCTACCGTTTAGTTTCGATATCATAAGTGTTACCAACATTCGCTAGTACATTCTCCCAAGAGTATTTAGTTTCAATTACGTGTTCTATATTTGCATCGATACGGAACATAAATAGCAAGTTTCCTTCATCTGAAAATCTCTTTGCAGCCTTAAAATTCGTTCTTTTCTTACTTCTCTTAAATATTCTAAAAGGAGGCCATTTACTGAATAATTTACGTTTTCCTTTAAATAGTATTTTCTCTGTTTTCCAACTTTTTTTTTGGTAAAATAAAGAATGTGGCTTTGTTAGTCATTTTTCTTCTTGGATTCTTAAAAGAGAACAGTATACAATATTCAACGACTAAGTACAACGCGTGGAGTTGGATAGTAGTAAGACAAATTTTATGTTTGTTCTTTGGCAAGCTACAACTATGTTGTAATTTAATTTATACGAGACGTAACATTGTAGTCTATCAGGAACTCAAGGGACACTTTTGGACACGAGATCAAATGATATGCTAAATTTTCTCGTATATGTGAAAAAGTAATATTCGAAAATGTACTCAAAGCTACCCTACTTTGGTAGTAAATTGAAGTCAAGACTTATAAGCATCTGATCTAACACCAGTTATGTGTTTAACTTGGTTTGTTTTAGAAAGAGAAAGAGTGGAGAGAAAAAGAAAAAGCCGCCGCTTTGAAGCAGAAGAAGTTAACGGCAGACTTGAAGGAATCGAGAGCTCGACAGATCGAAGATATTAGAAAACAACAAGCCGTGGCTTTGGCTAGAGACGAGGAAGATTTCATGAAGGTAAATAGTACATGATCTAATTTTTCATTAAAACATATTGATAATTCAAATTCAAAATCAAGGTGGCAAAAGTTCAGCGCATGCTCTTCGAAAAAGACATGGTGGAAAGGGAGAAGAAGAAGGAATTGAAACTGAAACACAAAAAGGAACTCTTGAAGCAGATAAACGAGAAAGAAAAAGAGAGGATCATGCACCAGCAGGGAATATTCGAGGATGGAAAAGCACAGAGGCTCGAATACGAAATCAATGACAGAAAGGTTGAGGATTACCTCAAAGATAAGGTTGAGCGCCTTAGGTAATTTGAAAATGTAGTTTAGTTTCCGCGTGCCTAATATATATTTTTCTTTTTAGAGAAAATAATGTTCCTGATCAATATATTAAGGATATTGAAAGACAGCTGAAGATAAAAAAATGAGGAAATCTATTTGAACTGTATCCTTTTGGTACAACTAAATGAAATTATGTTTGTTAAATGTAAATACATATTCGAAAGAATATAAAAGAAAATATTTTTACAACTGGAAACGGGTAAAATTGTTATTAAAATGCCAAATTATTTTTTCATGGAGTTATTATTTTTTACTTTAAAAACATCCTTTTCTTTACATCAGCGATTATATTTCATTTAAATTGTAAATTTATTTATTACTCAAAAGAAAAAAAATAAACATTAAAATATACTTCTTTAGGAAGACTTATGTAATATGATAAGTATGTATACTTGTCTATTATTTTACGATAATCATCCTATTTTGAGATACGTTAAATGAGAAGTAACGCCCTTGAGGCGTTATAAATACCTATAATATCCTAAGACAAAATTAAAAAAATTACCATGAAAATAAATCAATTATAAATAATTATAAATATCATACCAATTATACAGACTGATTAAAAATTCAGTACAAAAAATTTAGGGGCGTGCCATGTTTTTAATCAAATTATTTTTATTTCTGACCGGGATATTATAAGCTTATATCGTCATAGTTACGCTATCAATAAAGAGAGTCTATAATTCCCTCTACCTTTCACAAGTAAAAATAAAATAAAAAATGCTAATATACATATATATGTATATATTTATGAAATGAAAACTGAACCATATTTTATTTATTTGCGTCATTACAAATAATAAATGTNATTATTATTATTTATTACAATTACATATTTGTTATTTGTATTCAAAAATCGTTTATTAACATTCTTTTTATTAAAAGATTTAGCTCCAGGTAACATCCAAGCCGTATTTCTTTTTAAAATTTTTAATTTCGTAAGAGCAAAAAGAAATCTTTTAAAACCTTTTCTGTTAAATATAATACATTATTAAAGCTCGGGGTTTTCGGCGGCTAGTCATAGGCGTGTTCGTCGTAATCAAATAAATAAACAGGTAGGTAGGTATAAATAAAAATAAATAAATTTGCGTACTTTATCAGCGAAAGATAATTTTTTACCCCTTGGCGCCTTCGAATTTATTAGATTATAACTCGTATACACGAAGCAAATGCGAAGCCAATAACTGCCGTTATTACCGGTTTAATACGGTGCGCTGTAGCGAAGGGCCGATGCGACGGCTATGATAATCCGACCGAGTCCCGAGCTCTACACATTATATTCAGGTTAAAATGTTCAGTATTTACCTACCACAATCTGTTTTGAGCAATTATTATAAAGGACCCCGCACAAACCTTATAGGAAATTCCGTTCGGTCAATTTTAATGAAATTAATAATAATATGTACGCATTATACAGTTTTTAAGCTTCATGGAGCTTTTACGCGACTAATAAGCATTTAAACACGTGCTAGACAAGCATTCGCATTATCAACTTTTAACATCGAATATCTCGGAAACTGTTCATTAGCGAACTTTGGGCCCATGAAGACTTTTGTTCCTCATAACAAAAACAACCTATTCCCAAAATTTCATTAAAATTGACCGAACGGTTTGTACGGGGTCCTTTATTATTGTTGGGCTACCCTTAATAAAAATTACTTAAATATCAGTCTTTTGGTGTCAACGAGATAACATTACTTTTTTGGACAAAAATTACTCCAAGACCCAAAAGGCTCATTTCCGACTAGGGGTTTAAATGAAAAAAATTTTACCACAATCTTCTCTATATTCCCCTCAAGTTTGGCAAGACCGTTTGGAATCACCCTGTATACTGTATCTTGAAAAAGAGATTGCTAAAATTTAAAAAAAAAAGATGAAAGACGATAGGCCCATAGTCAATAGGAAAGATTGTTTTTTATTTTTGTATGTTCTATCAGTTTCTAAATTTGTGGTACAAGATGCAATCCTTAAAAGGCTATAAAACAGATTTAGCAAAATGTTTCATATGATCGTTGGTCAGACGATGTTGGATAGACTGATGAAACTTGAGCCAGTGATTTATCTATGTAGAAGTAAATATGCCAACTAGTGACGGAGATACGAAGGGTCAGTACCACTAAAAGCCTCTGATACTCGTTAATGAGTATTCCGCAAATTTGATTAACGTTTTTTATTACTAATTTCTAAGGAAACAGATCTCTTACATGTTGAATAAACCGTTTTAGAATTCCCATTTTTTTATATTAAAATGAGCTTTCAAAATAGTTAAGTAAACTGTTTGTTCTACAGAAACAGTTTACGAGAATTTTTTGTTAAAAATACAATTTTAAATACAAGGTAATGTGTCGAAAGTTCTAAAAATCAATGGAAGGAAATAGAAAACAGAAAATTACAATTTTCGCAAATATTGCAGTATAGAATTTTCGAAATCTTTTAAGTTCTAAATCGTATATACATATTTCACGTTAAAAATTTTGAGACGCAGACAGTATTTATACAAATGTAAACTTTTTATTGTGCTTTACTCGTTTTCATGTATTCATAATAACATGTCTTGTCGTTTCTTTAGATTCAACAGTTCATGAAGGAAAAAGCGGAACGAGAGGAGGCCAGAGAAAGGGAAATTGCCGCAGAAAAAGCTGCAAAGGAAATGGAAATAGCAAGACTAAGAGCCCAGCAGGAGAAGAGTCTGGACTACAGGGCCCAGTTAGACGAAATGAATGCACTCCGCATGCAAGAAGAGGTAAGGATCCACACGATTCGATATACTGATTAGAGATTTTACAACTTGAAAGAATCTGAAAAAATTGAAAAAAAAACTCAGAAATATACGCAATCTTAATTTCTTACGAGTAAATAAGGAACAAAATTTAATTTCTTTATAACTAAAAGAGACAACATATAAAATATTTTTAAATAAATAAATAAAAAAAAAAAGATCTCTGAGAACAGGAAACAATTATCAAATTTACTTAAAGGAATCATCTTCCATGTCTGATGGTTCTCATCCCAGAGCAGCATGCGTTTGGTAAGTAGTATACTAATCTGGAAAACTTAAATTTTTTTCCTCTAAATTTCATATAATTCTCTTAAATTCCAATCGTGACCAGTCTTTATTTATGACATGCTATTACTGAATGTACATTGCTGAAAAATACTTTGTTAGATCCATGGCATAGTTATCAAAAAAATAATTATTTAATCATTTTTTTGATAACTATTTCTACAGACCAACACATCAGCTAAAATTCTTTATATCCTAGATTTTAGCAAAACTTTACTCTTTTCCAAATTTTTTTCGTTGCTTTCCAATTTTTCAGGGAGAAAACTGCTTTTTCCGAAAATTTTGAGTCTCTAATACTGATCGCGTTTGATTGAAATGGCATATTGCTTCCACATGCTTCCATTGTTATATTTACTATACAGGATGAGCCTTAATTAAGCTGTCCCGTATTCTATATGGCGTTGCTTGGTCATAATTAACACAAGAAGTTCAAATCAACTAGGGTTCAATTCCGATTTCCTACAAAAATGTCGCAGATTGAAGATGACCTGTTGGTTACGGCTTTCCTAAGTATTTTTAAAATTAGTTATTAACGTGTCACTACCAAATTTGCTACTTGTTTTAGATTATTTGCGAAAATTTGTGTTAGCTTGACCTTACTTTTTCATAGAAAATGTAAGATTTGATCCAATAACATGAAATACTGGTAGTAAGTGAAAAAATGTTTACTCTCGAAAAATTTTTTTAAAAGACACAGTTTCCGAGTAAAAAAATTGCATCGTCATGTAGGAAATCTCAAGTACGGCTTTGCAGAGGCAAATAATTTATTAGCAATAGTAGGGGAGCCCACGATGCTAAACAGGGATTTACTCGAGCGTCGTAGGGACCTATTGGATTTTGAAGATTAGATGGTAGAAAGAAAAAAAGGTTATATGATGTATACCCTGTCACCGGTGGGGGAAGCGTCTACAGGCTGTCAAAAATGTAAAAAAAAACAGTCACATGGAAATACTCGCGCACGTCAGATATTGATAGTGTATATGCTCTACATGTCTCCGATGATGGAGATATGTTAATCTGCCGATTTGGATGGTGGGGGCGGCCGTACGGAAAGGTTAAAAATGGGGAAAAAAAATTACTCTAGCGCGTCAGATATTCAGAGGTGATGTTAAGTGAACACGAACAAAGTTCCCATTCAAAAGACTGACGATTCGGATGTGACGCAAACTCGTGGCAGCTTTTTGAAAATCCAAAAAAAAATTGCCATTTTGAAATACTCGAGCGCGTCAGATTTTCATATAGATGGTTCAGCTTGACGCCCTGGTCGTGTTGATCCATAATCTGACGATTATTTGGAGGGGTTTTCTTAATCTGACGGTTTGAAGAAAAAATTTTTTTTTCATTATTTATTTTTTAAATCACTGAATGTGACAAATAAAAAGCACGGGAAATAATAACACTCAAATAAAAACAAATAACAAATTTTGTTGAAATTTGTAAAAAAAAGTTTTTTGTTTTATTTCATGCACACATAAATCTATTTCTTTTAATTATAATACATATAAACACATATAACATATAATATATACTTTCGGTAATCTCTTTATCTGATAAATTTACAAATGATAAACAAATAAGAGATAAAAAAATATGGCCGAGGTTAATAGATAGATAGATAGATAGATAGATAGATAGATAGATAGATAGATAGATAGATAGATAGATAGATAGATAGATAGATAGATAGATAGATAGATAGATAGATAGATAGATAGATAGATAGATAGATAGATAGATAGATAGATAGATAGATAGATAGATAGATAGATAGATAGATAGATAGATAGATAGATAGATAGATAGATAGATAGATAGATAGATAGATAGATAGATAGATAGATAGATAGATAGATAGATAGATAGATAGATAGATAGATAGATAGATAGATAGATAGATAGATAGATAGATAGATAGATAGATAGATAGATAGATAGATAGATAGATAGATAGATAGATAGATAGATAGATAGATAGATAGATAGATAGATAGATAGATAGATAGATAGATAGATAGATAGATAGAT